AAGCGCTTTACAGAACATAGATATACAATTAATACAATTAGCATATACATTAAGCAATACAATTTTGAGGAATGCGCAGGAGCTTCCTTATCAGGCGTTAACTACTAGTCCTATGTCCCCTGGCTAATATCTCCCTATGTGTGTATGCCTGCATTTGTGCTGGATATGTAATGTTTTCTGTTTGTAGTGGGACCGTGCTTCAAACGGCATCATTTATAATGCCACCTCACTTGAATGCTACAGCACAGATACCGCAACATCCACCCCAGACCAATTTATACTCCACCTGGGTTTTTCCTTTCTCTTGTGTATTTTAACGTTTTCATATACGTTTCAAAAATGAAGTTTCCTTAATCACGTATAACGGTTCAACCTCTAATTGCTTCATTAGGAATTGTTAGAAAATACCAGTGTGAACGCTGCGGTACTGCGGCGCTGATATTTGGCCTGGGGTATCAACATTGATGTAGGGAAGTCAACAAAGAACACGACGGAAGTCGTGACAGTTTCTTTTCATTTGTTTGGATGTTTTTTGTTCTGTTCTGAAGTTTTATTTAATACAAAAATGTTCAAGTTAAACTTGATGTGAAAGTGTTGAAAAATTAAAATAATTTTGAAATAATTGCCTATATAAAATACCATTGTTTTGTATGGACCGATATGGACCACAATGTGACAACAGATTTCCTCCCTGCCTCTGTTCTAATTGTCTTGTCTATTATATAACGTGTCAATTAGGTGACGCCACGATAGTTTTTGTCGTTGAACGAGCTGTACTATATACATTTCGATGACGGACGTTCACACGTTCGAAACGTAAAAAAAGGTCATCGGATTGTTTTCAACAATAACGGTGAGACTTAAGGAGAAGTAAATGATATTTGGTGACTTCATAACAATAGTAAAAACAAACTGATGACGTCACAATAGTGAACAAATGATGACGCCATCTAAATACAAAAACACTAATATTGGTAGAACAATGCTTTGTGGAATTATTACATGCAAGATCCTATGTGGGGATTAACACGACCATGGATGGATATTTATAAACAGTTTCCTTTTTCTTATCGTTTTTCTCGTTTCATCTCTCTTGGGATTGAGTCCCCTGTACCAATAACGTTAATAGGTAGGGCTATGTAGTTACTGACTATTACATCCTTCCTATTTACAAAATTGATACAGAGGACTTGGTGTGCATACCATGGCCATCACATATCATAATAGTATATAATGCTCGCACTAACTCGTTAAATCTTTCACCAAAGTGGCCGGTTTTGATTCCGCGATCGGACGTCGAAAGGTATGAACTCACATACCTTACCACGTGGGTTTTCTCCAGGTACTCCAGTTTCCTCCAAAATTGAGACCCCCACACGTTAACATCAGGTAAAATACGAGTTAAATATGGGTTTTAATCACTTGTTTTATACTTATTGTTATATGAATGAAGTTTTATATTATGAAAAATCCAGTATCCTGACTATCCACTCCTGACATCCTGGAGGAAAGGATCATAGTGTAGCACCCTGTCATCTCTGCCAGAGTCAGCGTACACAGCTACCACCATGATTTGTGAGTGTGTTTCTCCGACCAAGGCGGTACGTTTTCTTTGTAAAGTCGAGTCATATCTATTACGGTTTGAAATAGACAAAACACGTCAATAATTTTCACATTTACATTGTGTATATGAAAAAGTAAAATACTCAAATAGGATTGAGTCGCAAGTAACAGCAATAACACGATGGCTCAAATATATATATATATAACAAATACAAAGAGTGTCTTATTACCTCCTTAGCGTTTACACCTCTTTAGTAGGCCAAACGAAACGCAGTTACGTTGCAGCCTATTGTCAACGCCTCCGAAAGCCTGTGTACAACTACAATCCTAGCATTCTGATTGGTCTATGTCTTCAAACAAGTTACTAACACCCCCTAGTGTTGAAATGTGTAAACGGTCTATCATAAAGGTATTGCCGCCATTACTCAAAATGTTTTTTTGTATATATACAATTTCTGCGAGACAAACAATAAATAAACAAGAAGCTTGCCCTATCAAAAATGTTACGCATTTCTGACACTTTTCATATTGACACACACGTCAAACATGAACATACATTGCTCTGGTTTACGTTAATTCTCCGATACGTGACAATATGGCGGGGCGAACTGGATTATGGGATGACTGACTTCGTAGTCCATAGTGCTGACTTTCCGGGAAATTCAAACTGCTGATTTTTGTTTATAAAAAATGAGGAATGGTATATCAATCATCAAAAAAGTCATCTCAATATAATTTTATATTCCACATCGCATAATCCTACACGCTTTGAATCACTTGTGATACATATTTATGCCATGAATGGCGAGATAAACTTTGCACCGTCCAGTCGCCAGTCGGTCAAACCAACATTGTTATTGTGGATTTGAAACATTTAATTATTATTTGAATATCATTTTCATTTGTCAATATCGATGTATAACTAAATTTAAAAAATCTTCGGATATAAGAAAAAGAAACAGAGCTTCCAAAATAATCGTAAAATTTCTTCTGACTTCTTCGGAGATTCACTTTTTCTGCTGCTGCTGAAGAGAGCTGACATCGACAAAAGGGGCTTGTATAGACTTGTATGATAAAATTAGCTTGAAATACCTATATATATAAAGACATTATGTATAGGTATTTCAAGCTAATTTTATCATGTAAGTTTATACAAGCCCCTGTGCATCGACTATCAACTGCTCTCATTTTACGCCTAAGAAAAGATCTTTTCAGACCGTCAGTAAGCACAACCATATGTCATGTTTGTAACTGAATACTGTAAGAATGCATTTTTTAATAGCAAATATTTTTCAAAACGATGGAGAAGTGAGGATATAGACGTTTTACGTGCACTTTGCACACATGGCCGCCCTGACATTATTTATATTGATCACACAGACAATATGTCTTTTAATCAACTTTACGGAGCAAGGAATCTATGCCCTATACTTATATAGAACTTTGAGTCAGCAGGTATTTATTTCAATGTTTTGAATGATAACATTTTAGTGTACCTTGTACATTCAGTTATTGGCACGTCGGCTATGTATATCGGACCCACGCGCGCAACCAGTCGCCATGACACTTTTCGAAGAACAAACAGCCTATTCTGTTTATTTGCACTTAGTTCTTCATTAAAAAACATATTGAAAAGAAATCAATAGTAAATATAGCTTATATAGAACACTTAATACCACAACATGGATAGCATTTTATGTACCCTTTAAAGTGTACGCGGAATGATTTGCAATATTAAGTTTGATAATACACCACTCCATAAAACAGAAAGTGGAGAAAGCGCGAACGCCATAGCGACTCTCGTTTCAGAGAAATCACGATATTTCTTGAAATCTCCCCTGTGGCCCTACAGCGATGACCCCGTTTCGGTGTCCCAGACCTGTGACATCACAAGTTCAACGCGGTCAACTCAGCCCTATTAGATTTTACCAAGGAAGCGCGATATGTACCGTGATATATGCGGCCTGTCATGTGATTAACAAAGTTTTCATCGGTGTCGGGAAGGGCATCGGTGTCGGGAAGGGCATGGGTGTGGGGAGGGGCATCGGTGTGGGGAGGGGCATCGTTGTCAGGAAGGGCATCGGTGTCGGGACGAACATGGGTGTGCAAGGTCCGCTCCCTCCTCCGGGTACTTATATCAATATATTGCAATAGCAAAATATTTCCTGAACATTTGAAGTTGGAAATCACGAATAGTCATTTTGATTAAGTTTTTTTATATCTGAAATATCCAGAAACACATAGTTTAGCATTTACAAAAGACATCAGTATAATTTGTTTGTCTCAATCAAACAATTGAAAGCAAATATGCCAAAAAGTGTCAAATGCAGGAACAAATATCAAGATAAAGAAACATATTTCTTTGTTTCAAAACAAATGACTAGTTGTGCTACAGTTTTAACAACATGATACATTGAACTGACATCTAACAAACTCAACAAACCAGAAACGTTCTTTGTTTTTTCATTGACGATATATATATTTATGTATGATTTTGTTACAAACAGGGGTATATAGGATATATAATAAAACAGTAGTATTTTATCTATCTGAAACTAAGTATATAAACATTATGCATCACAACTTTGTGACGGCATGGGTCTTTAGTGAAAAGTGGGGAAAATTAACACGCATCTGTACCATTGTACAAAGGTTCGTTACATGTGTCTTTAGTTCACATAGGCTACACTGCTATGGGTAACAGCATACAGGGGTTCATTACGTATATCTGTAATTTACATAGGCTACAGTGCTATTGGTCACAGCATACAAGGGTTCGTTACATATGCCTGTATTTCACATAGGCTACATTGTGAATTTCAGACATTTGTGACGAACCCCTGTGCATAAACTGTGTTTGTTACGTCAAATGGCGCTAACGGGAATTTTGTGACACTTATGCATCATTACAAGGCTAGTTTTGGCGGCGACCAACTCGTTATATCTAATGTACATGTATTTGGTAAAGGGATGACATAACACAAATAAATGTGATGCACCTTTCAAAGTATGTAATACATGAAGTATGCAAAACATAAAATTACAGTGCATCATACAGCTTCTTCGTCCTCCTAAGACTGAATTAAGTTGTAGATGTGTCCTCCTGATGCTTATATCTATTTATATAACCTGTCTGTTATCAAACACAGTAATGAACAATAACAGGCAAATATTATACTTCATCAAATATTCTTCACTTAACATTCTGTTTCGATAGTTTAAATATTGGTCGAAGTTACACAACTCAAGTACAAACCACAACTTAAGCACACATGTACGTACACACATGTTATGATGGTTACGTAAGATAGCAAGCTCTGTCTTTTAGATTATTTTTTACCTAGCGCCAGGAGTCTAGGACTTTTTATACTGTTTGTCGATTACGTCACGTGATATACCCGTAACAAGGAGGTGTATAGACAAAATTGTACCGACATAACAAAATGGTGGCAGTTCACAGTTTGTTTCTAAAATTCTAACGTATTCCGTGAAAGTACCAACACCATGGCAAGTAACAGATCCGTAAGACGTGCCCAGGAACCCGTTACCTACACGTGTGATTTGTGTGACAGTGAAGACGGGGTACGATGGTATTGTAACGATTGTCGGGAGAATTTATGTGACCGGTGTAAGGAAATCCATACACGCGGAAGGAAAACCAAAAACGATGACGTCGTGTCGATAGGGAAGGCTACCCGTCAGGGCGACAAGCCTCTATCAGAGGTATGTAAACTACATCTCGGTAAACTGTGTGATATGTTCTGCTCGGACTGCAACGAGTTGATTTGTTCGATATGTTTATCTAAAAATCATAAACAACACAACTGGAATCTTTTTGAAGACGAACTGTTTGTCAAAAAGGAACATTTTAAGGAACATATGACAACGTTAGCTGATAAAATAGCACATTTCAAGAACGAGACATCCGAGCGACATCGCGTGAACAAAACGTTTAAAGACAACATTGATACAACGAGGAAAGAGGTAAACTCACAGAGGACTAAGCTAAAGGCAGAAGTAGATTATATCGCGGAAGCAGTGCTGGCCGAGTTATCATCTTTAGAAAAAGAGGAATCACTGCTGTACAAGAAAGATATTCAACGATCGGAGAAAAATATCGAAGAGCTGACGCGTCTGCTTGAAAAGGCGGAAGTGACGGATACATCTAGTGTATCCATATTTGAAACGTCATTGAGGAAAACTCTGCCCCTGTATGACGTTAAGATGAAACATATTTCACCAAAACAACCAAGCTTTGTTACCGGAAGTATCAACCGAGTCCCGTTGACAAAAATGTTAGGTAAATTACACCACGAGAACCAGTACGAGAAGACAGACATCAACAATAAACACGTTCAACGTCTCTCTGAGTTTACTGTTTCACAACAAAATCGAATATTCGGTATATGTCCAGTCGACGACAGTCAGGTATGGTGTGGTCATAGAGACAGTAAAACTGGTCTTCTGTCCGGACATGATCACCATGGTCGGGACAACAGACATACTTATGAGCCGTTTTAATGATAGTACATTTGTATATAAACTATCACTACACAAACAACAAGTGACAACATTTGCTGACATCAAGCCACATGAACCACATGACATCAGCATCAACAAGAGGAACGAGGTGTTTGTTAGTACAGGTACACCAGACATAGTGGTACTGAATCAGACAGGTACGATTGTGAGGAAGGTGACGTGTGGAATGGTTGTGGGGTTTATTACATGTTTGTCGTCAGGAGACATTGCAGTGTCGGACGTTAGTAATGTATCAATCATAACAGACAAATCTGGTACAACCAAATATAAATGGACTGGTGAACTCAACAACGGTCAAAAGGTTGGTAGTATGAACCTCTTTAATCTGTCACGTGACAAGTACGACAGACTGTTTGTACCAGACTACAAGAACAGCCAGGTGTATGTCCTACAGAGAGATTGTACACAGGCCACGTGTCTCCTGGACCAGAAACATGGAGTGAGTGGATCTAAAGCGGTGGGTGTGGACACGTGTGGTAACGTGTGGGTTGGGTGTGTAGACGGTACCGTACACGTGATGGGACTGTAACACGAGGATATAGTACATGGTGAACACTTGACCTCGTGGTACAATACTACATTATGTAAATATCATCACAAACAATTCATCAATGTCTGATTAATCCTCTCAAATATCGATTAATTTTGTAGAGATTTTCGAACAATTAATCAATTGGTGTAAATGACATGTGAAAAACATCTTGAAGTTATAAGGTTTTTGAACCGACAATGCCTGATCATTAAACTGATCAACGAATTAACTAGTGAGCTGCACTGAGGGTTTCGTTTTATTTATTTGTGGGATTAGGTATTGTTATTATTTAAATAGTTTTCAAGGATTTAATTAGAAATATTTCATGTCATCTTCAGAGAAAGATTGAGTACAATAAAGTTAAAATAACTTATTATAATTGTCAAAATGATGAAATATTTGTTTAAAGCATTTTTGCACCAAGTAATTAATTTATGCACACATGAAGAGATAGAAGGGGGGAAAGAGAACGAATCAGACAGAAAATCACTTTATCAATATTTAAGAAATTATCTGCATTAAGTTTTGTAACTCGAAAAGTTCGTTTCCAAATAATACAAACGTCCAATTACATACTATTAAATGGTGTTATATTTGTACATTATTTCTTATTTTCTATTCATGTAGAAAACACAATTTAAGTTGAAACTCTTAAAAGTCTTTTTATTTGTATTACTGCTGTGTCTTTGTATAGTTTGTTATCTATTTGAGGGTAACAATTAGTTAACTTCCATTATTACCACTGTTACTGATGTAAAAAATTGCTTTTAAATGAAATATTCTACTACGCTAATACTTCCATCCAAGAAATTGGCACCGAAATTGAAGTCCAATGTATGGGACGAAAAGTCTATGAAAATAAGAGATTCCTACGTAGACAGGGAAGTAACTCGAAGCTAGCACTATATATAAAGGTTTTTCTTAATGTTCAGATCGTATATCAGTGTTCATTTTGCCTTATTTTATTTTTATTTTATTTTATCTTATTTTTCTTTCCTGATCTTATTATTTAAAGCATAATGTTTCCTACTCGAATATATATTTCTTTTCGAGAATGTCGTCGTGGTATTTGTGAAATACACTAAATATTTCACATGGGTTTCAATGCTCCATCTTTATCCTAAGCTGCTTCAATATTTGATGGAGGGGGGGGGGGGCAATGATGAGGTGCATCAAAAATTATCTTAGTTGAAGTGAATTTCTAAACAAATGTTATTGTCTTTTGTTCCGTTTTAGTGTCATAAAACGCACAATCGTTCTACGATTTGCCTGCGATTCGTACATTTTTTAGTCGCAGCTAGATCGTATCCTGGTCGCAGGCCGGGTGTGACTGATTATGCATTTAAAGCAATTATTTAATAAGCGACAATTCTGTGAACTGAAACAAATGAAGAAAAAACTCATGATCAACATTTTTGTTAGTTTACTGACGGATTAGACTGACAAGAATCTACACGAACAAACTAGAAATTAAGTCAGAAGTATTTAGTTTTTCCGCCTTTTTGTCAATATTTGTAATATAATTGTTTACGCCTTTGGTATGTGGACGTGATATGTAAACTATCAATCGTCTCGGAAAGCGAACAAATAATAACTAGCCAAAGAAATTAAAAGCGTGAGCGCGAGTTTTCCAGTTCATTCAAAAAGTCGAAACATCAAATACGTTGAGGCCCCCTCGATACTCCAGGAGTTACGCTCACTTACGATCACTGCAGCCGTGGACTATGTCATAGTGGAATTTAAAGCACGAAGGTAGCTGTTTGGTTGGTCTCATGTAAACAAAAGACCAATTGCTAGGGAGATACACGTTCATTGAGGATTACTGAGTGGCGACACCGACGTCAATTTTACCGTTACGGTGCCACACGACTATTTTGATGTATATCAAAGGTTCATACTGATCTATTTCTATCATTCAGAAGGTCGCACGTACGGAGACTTCGATGTTGTCATGACATATTCCAGGGAGCGCAACACCTTGAGTATCGAGACTATATTTGCAAGGAAACAGTTGACATAAATGATTTTGGTTAAATTTAAATCCATAATTCCTACAAAAACTTTTTTTATTTATTTATTTGCAAATCAACTTTAAAAACAAAAATCATTTTTTGACTTAAATGGTGTTCTATCCTTTCTAAATATACTTACATCCAAGTCTGTAAGCCAATTCGCGTTGCGTAATTGTTAGTTACGAAGAGGGCAAACTTTAATATGTTTTGGACAACACTTCACTCAGGCAAAGGCAGCATCTTCGTTATCAAATTGTTCCAAACATCAACTCGACTGAGTTTTAATTTATTTATTATTTCTAAATGACTGGTATCAAACCCTGTTGTGTATCTAGAATAGGAGATGATTTTGTAGGTTACTATAACTTGTGTCCAGTCTTTGCTGTATAATTTGTAACAGTTAAAATTGTTAAAATCAAGTCAATGCTCTAAAGCTCTACACCAGAAATGAATCTTATTATTGATGTGTTCACATAATAGTTTTTGCGTAATTAAGACTCCCATGAAATACTAGAATATCTAAAAAAAATCACGAATCTGTGTATATAATTACAAGACAAAGGCCATGTTTATGAAGATATCTTTAATACCATAAAGCAAAGCCGTACTAAATCACAAATCAGCGGGATCTTTCACAAAACAGACATTACAGACAAGCGGACAGACGAAAATGACATTGTACTTTAATAGTAATATGTTAACATGATAAAATATCATCAATTGCTATCACTCCCAAATAGTTTAACTATCACATCTAGTACATTATACAATATACAAGTACAATAATTTTATGTTAACGGTTTTATTAAAGGTTGAACAAATATCATCACTTAATATCAACAGATAGTATAAACTAATACAACAATAACCAGATATATGTAAAGGCATGATTTATAGGAATAATTTTTGATGGTTGAACATGTAAAAAAACCATATTAAACTAATATCACTATTTGATGTTTTGCTTGTTTGGATATGTTGTAATATCATAAATTAATATCGTTTTTCTTATCTTATAATATACAAGTCAATTCACCAGATGAGTGCATAGGCAATAGTTATTGATGGTTGAACAAGTTTAAAAGTCAACAAAGATCGCTTTCTGAAGTTTGGATATGTAGTAATATCATAAATTTATATCGTTTTTCTTATCTTATAATATACAGGCAATAGTTATTGATGGTTGGACATGTTTAAAAAGTCAACAAATATCGCTCTCTGATATTTGGATATGTTGTCATATCATAAATTAACATCGTTTTTCCTATCTTATAATATACAATTCAATTCACCAGATGAGTGTTCGTGAGTCATTCAGATGTTATAGTTAACGTGAATCCAGCGTCAAACGCACCGAGAACTAAGAACCTAGCCCAAACGGAATATATGTTTTCTCTTTGTGACTTCACATCACAACCTATTTAACGGCATATGCTGTCTGAACTGACTTCCATTTCATATCCATGAGAGATTCACACTAAAACATAATGTAAGATTGGTAATTCAAACTAAATCTATTAATTGATGTTATAATTGAATTGAGAACATTAACAGAATAAACAAACGCTGAGGATAAATTTGAGCGGAATTCAAGTATTGATGACACATTTCAGGAGTTTAAGAGAATTTATAACGCTTTTCAACCGTGCGCAAATATTTATGACACGTGTTAGACGTACACAAAATGATTGACAAAACATAAGAAGAATAAAAGAATTAAGGACACATTCCAAACACGCATAAGAAACATGTGTTGAATATCAATGGAGGGAGGCAATCCTTATAGAAAAGTTTACGATAGACAGAGGATGCAGTGCATATAATTATCATTGATCAAACAACATTCGCTTGATTAACGTCAATGTCAACATTGAACAGATGACAGAGCAAACAGGATAAGAGAAAAAGAATAATCCAATTCTTTTTGGATAAAACGGGAGAATCTCCACCTTCGGGAAGGAGTTAATAGTTTTTAAGATACCGCAGTTGCCAAACACTTGGCGAGCGTCGTGTTTGACAACTTAGGAATCTTCTTTCTTGGTACTAAATTCCTTATCTACGACCCAACAGGACAAATAGTAAATGAACATCACATTAGGGTAGACGTGGATACACCTCGCCATGATAAGAGATTCCCTTTATTAAACCAAAAGGGGCGAAATATGCTATTAATCTCACGTGAATGTCCAGTGTAGGACACATGTATAACATACATAAGATACCTCAAAAAATCCATGTTTTGAAAAAGATAAGATTAAACTTATTAACATAAAACTGATTGGAAAATAGTAATTATTCAAATCCTAACAATTGTTTTAACTTGGTGATTAAGAGCTGTAATAATGTATGATTAATAGTTTATTAATTGTAGAACCTTACGTGGGATATTGTGTAGTAACTGGAAAGAGAAACATATTTTCTGTTTGTCTCCCTTTCCTCGAAGTGTGTATAATGTATCTAATATCAATATCTAGACAACGTTCTTTCTTGATTTCCGGATTACGGATGTACAAGGTTCCGTAATATGTCTTACACCAATTAGAGACTAATCCGTGTCTTTACAATCCAAACAGCGCACACCACGAGAGAACTGGAAACAAGGGAGATAATTTCGACCGAGGAATGTGCAGAGTTCGCTCCCCTGTCGCCGTATCGATTGTTGAGCTCCTGGGCCGTCAAGTTGTTACACAAGTCCGTATTACATGAAAATGTACACTGTCGGTGTGTCCAGTCGTCTAAGCACGTGTTGGAACGAGGGGCGGATGACGGAAGACAGTTCCGGGTCACTGACACTAACTCGAGGGAACCTACAGAAAACGGACATTGTGTGTCAGAAAATTCCCATTTATGTTTTGTTATTTAGTATTGACTAATAATTAAATCTTGCTGGTAGCAAGCATTTTAATTGGCTTAAAAATTATGTTATCACTACATAACGTAAAAAAATGACGTTGCCTTTTGTAACGCCGCGTTTGATTTGCTTATACAGGGGCGTAACAATTTCTAAGAGAAAGGAGTCCATCAATAAAAGTGGATTTCCTCATGGATTGTGTATAGTAGATTAAATTATAATAATTAACTGTTTTATGTTACGGAGCTATAACACAAAAATCCGGAGTGGACTCTCATTATAAACCGCTTCGCGATTTATTTAGAGTACACTCCGTATTTTTGTGTTAAACCTCCATAACATAAAAATATATTCAAGTTAATCCTTAAATATCTTCGGATGCGTTAAGAATGCATCAACTACGTGTTTCGTTATGCTTGGTCAGTTTGGTCATTTAAACTACTGAATGACGCAAATAATAACGAGTAAAAATATATTTGACACATAATTACCCTGTAATCATGGTTATAAAGCCATTTTCAAAAATAAAATTTTTAAAACACCTAGCGAAGCTGTTACTGGCTGTAGATTAGTATGGTTTTAATCGTGATGCCATGATTTCATGACGTCACTAATCTTAATTTGCATTGTTACGTCATAAAACAAAAAGGATTAAAGTGAGAAGTCGATAATAATTCGTGATTAATTGAAACATAGGTTGATTATGTGATAAAGAGTATCTTACATTCGTTTAAATTTCATATAAGATTCATGATGCTCACTAATTTTAATCATAGCTCGTTGAAATTGAACATTCTTAACAATTTTGTCATGAATCAGAGATAAAAGCAACCTCATACTTCCTGATTGAAAATAGCTACAGATGTTGATTGTGGTCTCCGTGTTCTCGGAGTTTTTCCTCTTTATTACAACTACCGGTCTAGTACGAAATGGCGATGGCGGATAGAATGATACTGAACGCATTTGACATCATTGATATTATATGTTGCAACAGACTTTTTTCATAAATCTCATAGAAATGTCAACTTGTGTAAGATCCTTAATTAAAGGTCTAAATTGAAAGACCTATTTGGACGGAGCCATACCACAGAAGGACATTTTCGTACGGCCACAGACAAACAAAGATTGATTAAAAAAATCAAAAATACTATATCGTGAATTTATTGCAATGAATGGCTCAACTTTCTTAAAAGCATAAAATAGCGAAAAAATAAAAATAAAAAAAATATGGGACTTACTTTTGAGGAACTGGACATCGAATGTACACACCCGGTCGTTGGAGCAATTGGTATGAACACTTGCTTTAGAAGTATCGTTCACACAATTGATGCCCACTTTCCCGTCTGTCGGTGCGTTATATCCACAGATGAAACACAACCGGGCTGTAAGAAAAAACAAATTGTCCATCAAACTTAACTAATTCCCAGAATATTTTTTGTATATTGTGTTATGTCACTAGTGGTTTCATGCGACATTACTGCAAAAACTTGGATTTTAAACGTACAGAAAGTCTTGAAAATCCCATAATGAAAGTTTTCTCACTAGTTATTTCTGCAATAAATCACTTGAACAGTCAATCCAAAACAGATATATTTTCATTATACATACTTACATATATCATAATTATTTTTTTGCCCACAATTCTGAGCTAGGGGTTATATTGAGCAAACTGAAATAGTACCAAATATATGAATGAATGTGGTATTTAATTTTACCTTGGCTGTATGTGAAACAGATCACCAGCAGTAACAGTATCCATCCACCTGTACGCCGTTCCATTTTGGTTTTAAACGAAAATTAAATAAGTCGTCAGATGGCCATTACTAAGTATATTGTCGGAAAATCTAACAGAAAGTTAAAGGCGCATAGTCGTAAATTGACGGTATATAAAAACCTTGTACTTTCATGTTAATTTCCTCGTTTGCAAAGAAACGACTGACAAAGTAGTTTGTTTTAGAAATTAACTTTACATGAATTATTTCACATGTGTTATTCTGACGTCATTTGTTAATAAGAATTATAAAAGTTGGGCTATGCGACATATATCTGAAATTTATAATACCGGCCACACGCCTCTAATGACGGAAAGTGCGTGTGAGATAGTAGGAGCATAATCCTTATATAAATGGTGGTGACACCCGAACATTCCAACTACTCTACAAACTCGCCTACTCCATATCGACCGGTAGTGAGGAGATAACGCGTACAGACCGTAGTTACCCTGATAAAGCATCGGGACGTGGGTAGATTACACAGACAACTACAGGACAGTCGACTGTGTAGGAGTGCATGGTACAAACAGAATGTCTTATCTACGGTACGGATAGAAAGCGTGGTCGGTCACTGTCATATATACGGTACAGTTGCTAAAATCCTTGTCAGACCAGTTCCGTTATAGGATAGGAAAAGAAAAATGTAGAAGTGATGTAAGTTGATCAACGCCCTGCTTCTGAAAATGACTAACCCGCTCCAGGACTTTCGACAGTTCATGGACCGAACACTTGATTCTCTAAAAGCAGATCATAGTATATTGTAATGTTTCAATTGGACATAAATATGTTAAAAGGGACTCAAGTGTTCGGTCTATATATTTCCAATAATGATGCTTGTGCATTTCATTGGGCGAAATGAAATGCAACAACTATAGGAATCGTCAGCACTTTCCGTAAACAATAACCCCCCCCCCACCCCATTCACACATCCTGAGCTAGATGTTCCACCATAAATACAAAGATATATAATTTAGCTAAATATCTTTTCTATTTCTCTCCAATGTTATCTGTTTCCCAAGGTATCTCTTGCAAGTCCGTTGTCAGCATAATGACCGCGTGGAGTGTCATTCTTTCAGTGACATAAAACTTTCTTGGGTTTGACTGACCCCATTTACTCTAAAGACCGACTTATGACCTAAGCTGTTGTCAAATGAAACAAATGGTATAAGGCTAACTGTCCTAGATTAAAGGTGTCAGATATGCGAAACCCCAACACGTGGTTTCAGAGATCACTGGAGTGCCCCGGGAGACGGTCCCTTGTCTTCTCCTTCGTTCCGTCCATAATAGGTACATATTTCCTTTGTCCAGTAGATGCAATTCTGTTCTTGTATTTTGTCCTGTTGCAACTTCTTGGGGTAAGGATGGATGGTGGGATTAGAAGTCAGATATAGGTCCGCTTACGTCTTTTTTTTCTGCAGACCAAAACCTGTATAGTTCTGTGTTCTTGCACCAGGATCTGTCGTTACCAGGGGGATGACCAGGTACGTCATAATGCCGTTGATTTCTTCTTTACATGTGAAATCGATGCTGTTTGTTGAGTCTACGGTGTTGATATTGACGGTAAAATCCTTTTGCGATCCTTTCGTGATGTTTCCATAACCCTTGCTTGCACTCTTTGGAGGCAGTGCCAATTAAGTTTTGTTCCAAATGATCTATTGGCACAAGTGGAGACACTGGACTGGCCATAGTGGTGCTGAAGCGTTACAGATAGATGTTATCTCGGAGACTGACATATGTTGTTGTCAGCCTTACAAATTCCAGCAAATTCATGTTGTCCTGATCTGCAGATTTGTGGTCTTAACCAGGATCCGTCTTAAGAGGCTTCAAATGATTCTAAGTGCATTGTTAAGCTTGTGTAAGCGAGTGACCGTTTTATGTGACACGAAATTCATGTATCTTTTGAATCGTGATCGTGGATATACTTTCCGGTATAGAGGATTTGAGTTCCGGACATAGTGTTCCGATTTATCCATTAGCGGTCCAAGGATGTCTACTAACAACCTGGAAACATTGGAACCGCTGGACCTAGTAAATCTCCGTGGGTTTTAGTGGGTTGACGTTGGATGTACAGTACATGCTAGGGCTGTTCTCTGCATTGTGTTAAGGTATCGGCATCATCTCGTTTATATTTTGTTAGACAGGATGGCTGTAAGGAGCCGTGTAAACTTGCGTTAAGGTATCGGCATCATCTCGTTTATCTTTTGTTAGACAGGATGAATGTAAGGAGTGTAAACTTGCGCCTTGGATTGTTCTGAATTGAAGCTGTTACAAGTAGTTAGCTGACCATCAGCACATCTCTGACCAGCTATTAAACAAAGCGTGGCCAAAACTAATCGTCTATTTGATATTATTTAAGTGTATGATCAATCATACACACTTTACACCTTAGTGTACATACGCTTTGCCGGTCATTTGTACGATGAGGGACACAGAGTTCATAATGTGCTCGTCATCGAAACGTCACAGATTGTGATACATAAACCTGAATGCAATTTATATTCAGGATGATGCGTATCACGGAGAAGCAGCCTGCCCGATGTTTTTTATGACAGCTGCATCTATCGTCTGACTGATCTATGTACCGTGACTGGACCTTCCCAAGCTTATCGAGGATTTGCTATCAGACATCTACTTTCACTTTTCCCACAGATATGTGACGGCCATTTTAAAAACAACCGATTAATTAAAATGTATGAAATTCAAACATGTCTTCATCTTACTAGGGATCTCTGCTTTATTAAAAATGTATTCATTGTCAATATTAAAGCATAGAATATGTAACTTCACATTACACATTTTTAAGATATATATTTTTCAACAAAATCTTGCACCTTTTATTAGCAGGATAGATTCTGTGTATGACTTGTGACTGTTTGGGAGTCATTCTACCCATGCTCCGTGAAGAATAACGGAGGAGTACACTAATAGCTGCTAGACTCAACTAAATAGTTGTTACATCTACATGTGTTTCAACTAAATAGATGTCATTTGCATTGACTGTGTTTTATACCATGTGATATGTTATTTGCATTGACTGTGTTTTATCCCATGTGATATGTCCGTTGCATTGACTGTGTTTTATACCATGTGATAGTTGCATTGACTGTGTTTTATACCATGCGATATGTTATTTGCATTGACTGTGTTTTATACCATGTAATATATTATTTGCATTGACTGTGTTTTATACCCTGTGATATGCTATTTGCGTTGACTATGTTTTATACCGTGTGATATGCTATTTGCATTGACTGTGTTGTATACCATGTGATATGTTAGTTGCATTGACTGTTTTATACCATGTGATATGCTATTTGCTTTGACTGTGTTTTATCCCATGTGATATGCTATTTGCATTGACTGTGGTTTATACCATGTGATATGCTTTTTGCATTGACTGTGTTTTATACCATGTGATCTGTTAGTTGCATTGACTGTGTTTTATACCATGTAATATATTATTTGCATTGACTGTGTTTTAAACCCTGTGATATGCTATTTGCGTTGACTATGTTTTATACCATGTGATATGCTATTTGCATTGAGTGTGTTTTATACCATGTGATATGTTAGTTGCATTGACTGTTTTATACCATGTGATATGCTATTTGCTTTGACTGTGTTTTATCCCATGTGATATGCTATTTGCATTGACTGTGATTTATACCATGTGATATGCTATTTCCATTGACGGTGTTTTATACCATGTGATATGTTAGTTGTATTGACTGTGTTGTATACCATGTGATATGTTATTTGCCTTGACTGGGTTTTATACCATGTGATATGCTATTTGCATTGCCTGTGATTTATACCATGAGATATGTTAGTTGCATTGACTGTGTTTTATGCCATGTGATATGTTAGTTGCATTGACTGTTTTATACCATGTAATATGTTAGTTGCATTGACTGTGTTTTATAACTCAACTAAATAGTTGTTACATCTACATGTGTTTCAACTAAATAGATGTCATTTGCATTGGCTGTGTTTTATACCATGTGATATGTTATTTGCATTGACTGTGTTTTATCCCATGTGATATGTCCGTTGCATTGACTGTGTTTTATACCATGTGATATATTAGTTGCATTGACTGTGTTTTATACCATGCGATATGCTTTTTGCATTGACTGTGTTTTATACCATGGGATATGCTATTTGCATTGACTGTGTTTTATCCCATGTGATATGTCCGTTGCATTGACTGTGTTTTATACCATGTGATAGTTGCATTGACTGTGTTTTATACCATGTTATATGTTAGTTGCATTGACTGTGTTTTATGCCATGTGATATGTTAGTTGCATTGACTGTGATTTATACCATGTGATATGCTATTTGCATTGACTGTGATTTATACCATGTGATATGCTATTTCCATTGACTGTGTTTTATACCATGTGATAAGTTAGTTGCATTGACTGTGTTGTATACCAGGTGATATGTTATTTGCCTTGACTGTGTTTTATACCATGTGATATGCTAGTTGCATTGACTGTGTTTTATACCATGCGATATGCTTTTTGCATTGACTGTGTTTTATACCATGGGATATGCTATTTGCATTGACTGTGTTTTATACCCTGTGATATGCTATTTGCGTTGACTATGTTTTATACCGTGTGATATGCTATTTGCATTGACTGTGTTGTATACCATGTGATATGGTAGTTGCATTGACTGTGTTGTATACCATGTGATATATTAGTTGCATTGACTGGGTTTTATACCATGTGATATGTTAGTTGCATTGACTGGGTTTTATACCATGTGATATGTTAGTTGCATTGACTGTTTTATACCATGTAATATGTTAGTTGCATTGACTGTGTTTTATAACTCAACTAAATAGTTGTTACATCTACATGTGTTTCAACTAAATAGATGTCATTTGCATTGGCTGTGTTTTATACCATGTGATATGTTATTTGCATTGACTGTGTTTTATACCATGGGATATGCTATTTGCATTGACTGTGTTTTATCCCATGTGATATGTCCGTTGCATTGACTGTGTTTTATACCATGTGATATGCAATTTGCATTGACTGTGTTTTATACCATGTAATATATTATTTGCATTGACTGTGTTTTATACCCTGTGATATGCTATTTGCGTTGACTATGTTTTATACCATGTGATATGCTATTTGCATTGACTGTGATTTATACCATGTGATATGCTATTTCCATTGACGGTGTTTTATACCATGTGATATGTTAGTTGTATTGACTGTGTTGTATACCATGTGATATGTTAGTTGCATTGACTGTGTTTTATACCATGTGATATGCTTTTTGCATTGACTGTGTTTTATACCATGTGATATGCTATTTGATGGTCATCTCGTGGTATACAGTCAATAAATTGTTAATTGGATTTCTATTTCTATTTTCACACCAAGGATAATGTTCTAGGAAGGCGAGAGAGAATTGGAAATATCCTAATAGGTGACTTCTATTTGTCTCTTCAGTCGCAAGAAGAGCACTGCATTACCAGTGTTACATTGTCTTGGCTGTTGTCGGTGGTTTTTCCAGATACTCTGGTTTTCTTCCATCACCATAGCTGTTAATGGGAGGTAAGGCACAACCAAACCAAACCAAACCGAACGAGTCTTTCTAGGAATGTAACGTGGAAGATCGTTGCCAGGAGTAACACAATAGTCCGAAAGCTCCACTTCCAGCTCAGCATGGTATTCCTGGGGCAAAACTCCTGCAAGTTTTCCTGTAATGGCCATCACATCAATATGGGTTTACGAACCACAGATTGGCAACCGCTGAACCTCAGATAGCTATATATAGGGACACTTGAAACAGATCTATACTTAAATTAATATAGAGTAAAATATGTTTATCTTTATTTTCACCAATACAGATCATATTATTGACATTATGTAAATGTTAACATTTGATATATTTTATTGTTAAGAGTTGGTGTATTACATGGATACGTAAGAATGTTATATTATTGTTAAAGTTACATTAGGTTGTTTAGTGTCAAGTTGTTATTTAAAGCTGTAAAATTATTTAATCAATACCATCACGGACATAGATAGCATCTAATCTAATTTCCCGATACCATTGATCTGGCTAGTCAATGCTGTACACTTGTACTTGTTTGAGGCGTGAAACGATATTATTTTATAAATGTCTACATCTTTAATTCCATTTAAGTATTAATTTGTTCAGAATTTAAGTATATTTGTTATGATTGCTGCTGGATGTTTCAATGAAATTTCTTGAAAGACAAGGCTATTATATATTGTGACAATTAATGCAATGTATTTAAGCTTTTATAGTTGCTTTGTCCGCTAGAATGTCATTTGGAGGTGTTGTGATTGCCTATTTACATTTGTTTGTTTGCATTTAACCCTTTCACCCCTAGTTAACTTTAGTAGACTGTACCATACATTCATCTGGATGAGTCCATTATAGTCTACAGTGGTGAAAGGGTTAATAAGTGAAGGTTATGGTACGTCATGCCCATTGTTTATATTTCTGTCGTAGTACTGGAGTGGAACAGGACCGGGTTGTTCACAAGTGATTAGGTGGCTCAGTTGATGATAGAGTGTCGGTCTAGTTTGTAGGGTTCCGAGTTTGAATCCAAGTCTGGCCGTGCGTTTAACATCTCCCGTTACATCATCTTTCTATTTCCAAGAACCAATATGTTGTTTCTTATTTTAATTCATATTGAATGTCAAAAATGTTGCTCCCACACTTTTCTTCCCCATTTGAATTTCTGAAAGTTGACATGTATGTATCACGAATATACAATCATGTCTCATGCTAACTTGGGTATAAAGACAACAAACCAATGTAATCACGTCTCCTCCTAACTTGGGTATAAAGCTAGCAAACCATGTCATCACGTCTCCTCCTAACTTGAGTATAAAGCTAGCAAACCATGTAATCACGTCTCCTCCTAACTTGGGTATAAAGCTAGCAAACCATGTAATCACGTCTCCTCCTAACTTGGGTATAAAGACAACAAACCATGTCATCACGTCTCCTCCTAACTTGGTTATCAAGACAACAAACCAATGTAATCACGTCTCCTCCTAACTTGGGTATAAAGACAACAAACCATGTAATCACGTCTCCTCCTAACTTGGGTATAAAGCTAGCAAACCATGTAATCACATCTCCTAACTTGGGTATAAAGACAACAAACCATGTCATCACGTCTCCTCCTAACTTGGGTATAAAGACAACAAACTATGTCATCACGTCTCCTCCTAACTTGGGTATAAAGTCAACAAACCGTGTCATCACGTCTCCTCCTAACTTTGGTATAAAGACAACAAACCATGTCATCACGTCTCCTCCTGACTTGGGTATAAAGACAACAAACCAATGTTATCACGTCTCTGAAGAACATATAAGTTTATTGACAGATCTGAGAACAATATCAACATTCACGATACTCTAATGACACCCCCACATAAACAAGTCAATAAGTAGCGTCCATAACTTAGCATTCTACCAGTGACAAGCACAAAGGGACATAACGCGTGAAGTATGTCAAGGGACATAACTCACGGAGTCTGTGAAGGGAGGTTACTCATATAAAATCTTCTCCAAACACCTAACTCCAAACCGATAGATTAAGAACAGGTTTATTTGATCAAAAGATGCAGGTTAGGAAAGGGGTTTCCGTTTGGTTGTAGAAGGGAACTATATCGGGGCATCGGGCTAACCACTGGTAGAATACAGTAAATTTAACTCGCAATAAACAATAAACACTAAAACGAACAAATCCATTGATACATGTAAGTTATTGCTAGCTTAAATGATAACCATAAAATATAGATCTGTCCACAATAACATGTTTTATCAATTAAATACTGTAATAAAATGAAATGGTTACATCTAATAATTCTACACAACTTCCATGAAATGATGAATGAAATGAACAAGATGTGATGTATTTAATGGAAAGCAAGGCAATAGTGTACACTGAGTTCATGTGTTTAATGGAAAGCATGGCAATAGTGTACACTGAGTTAATGTGTTTAATGGAAAGCATGGCAATAGTGTACACTAAGTTTATGTGTTTAATGCTTTGAGTTATAAAAAAAAAACACTGTTAGAACTTATATTCAATTTTAAAGGAATAAAGATGAAGTTGTAAATGTATTCGCAGTAAATCTGCAAATGCTGTAAGTTATCATTTAACAAGAGGCCCATGGGCCTTAACGGTCACCTGATATATTTATACAGAGAGTTGATTTTTGTTTTTAACATGAACAGAAATATTATTCAAAGTGACAAAAAACAATAAAACCACCTTATTCAATATCTAGCATGCAGATTTAAGACTGAAAAGTATTTGAAACTAGCACCTCTGATTCTAAACAAGGAAAATGAAGAAATTTTATTTTAGCACACAGACTCCATTGGGCCCCACCCTACAGCCCTTGGGGGTAGGGATGGCTCAAAATTTACAAAGTATCAAACTGTCAACTTAGGGTTATAATTCCAATCAAGTTATCAACATGTAATATTCAAAGTATCATTTGCCATTATAAACCATANGAAATTCACAATTTTGGTAAAGCACCTTAAGACCCTTCCATCTATGAAGAGTATTTGATTCTACCATATCTGGGTCTTGAGAAGAAGATTTTTGAAATTTCAGTCAATTCAACCCTTTTTGGCCCCACCCACCCATTAGCCCCGGGGGGTCAGTCAGGGCTGATATGCGCATACTATCAAACTGCTACCCAATACTGATCATGCTAACCTAAATTGAATTACTTCCAATGGCAATTAAACAAATGTTGGTCCAAAATGTGATTTCCCTATATAAACTATAGTAAAGTTTACCCACTCCCCAGGGGAAAACGTGAGACCCCAGGGTCAAGAAATTCACAATTTTAGTAAAGCACTAGTTAATGCCATTTGACATCTCTGAAAAAAAAGCTAAAAGTATGGAGTATATGATACTGACACATATAATTGCACCCCACTAAACTTGAGCTAACCAGACAGACACACCCGTAGAGGTGAAATAAGTGGCCACTACAGTTTATACACGGGACAACCATTCCGTAAGCTACCATAACCAGATTTATCAAGCATATAATTTTGATTGACATATATGGACACTTTTTCATAAGTGAATATAAAAAGGTTTAGCAAGCAGGTAACTTTGATCGATGTATATATGGATTTAGTTTCTATATATAAAGCGAATATAAACACATCTTGCAACAAGGTACCTTTGATTATCATACATGATTTCTTTTTTCATAAGCAAATATTAAGCAGGTGTACAGCATTGATTGACATACAGCCTATACTACAGAATTCAACTATAGTCTGTAAAATCACAAACACTACTCGGAGTATAGAAAAAATTTAGGTTTAGATGGTGGTGAATCAAAGTGATTTGATTTTTTTTCGAGAAAACATTTAACAAATCTTCAAAGGTTAACATGTATGTAATGTAAATAGTTTGATCAGTTTGTATAGGCGGGAAGTGAATTTGATTACTGAGGCTGTCGCACCTATTAATCTAGGGTGCAAACCTTGATTTAAACATCGCATACAAAAACTGAAAACTTGTTCTAAAACACGGAAAATAAATATAACTACATAACAAAACAAGGAGGTCTGAATAAATGATTTATCAAATTGCAAATTATCAAATTGCAAAAATACGTGTTCTACTTTCAGCCAACAATATATACTACATGTTATACACCTATAGAAAAACAACTCATCTAAACATAATTATCAACTGTTTTCCAATAGGACATTTTCAATCATTCCAAAGTTTCTTGGGGAAAAGTTTCAAGTTTTATTGCACTTGCGACGTGAATATTGTGACCGAATTATGAAAAAGACATCAACCTAATGAATGTCATCTAAATAGTACACAGAAGGAATATTGTGTCTTGTGCAGTCCTAGCTTTTACAGTGTTATACTCAGCAGGGATGCAGAGAACCTGGACAGACTTTAAACATTACTCCATCACTTCCAGACGACCATCAAAGTGTGTTCATTTTGTGACTCCCAAAATTTAACACTCTGCGTAGGTTTACAAGTCCCTGGTGTAAATGAGATATGTTTTGACTCTCAGGAAAACCCTGATCTCAAACCTCTGCCCTTTCACTCAGGTCACTTTTGTATATTGCATTCTCAGTGGTTTGTCCTCATTGGTTCATTTATGAAACAGAAATTTGATTGGTCATATGTTCAAACAAACAGGTCATCAATGAATTGTATTTAAACACGGTATGCAAATGAGTGTTTTTTTTAATCAGATTATATGGGTTTTTTCCCCATCATATTGATGGATCCTTTCCAGAGGACTTGGGTGTTTGATTGATTGGTGATTTGGTAATTGATTGGGTTTGAACCGCCTGTCAACACAGCTCTGACGTTGTACAACTTGACATCTGTTTCTGTCATTGTTGTGATGGTCACACACACTGGACCAGACATTGTATAGTCTCCCATACAAACTACATACGGACTTAGATTCCTTCATATATTTATCACTTTAAGAAAAACAACTTTATCATACGCTAACTTTACATGCTAAACCTTAATTTGATTCTAACATCTAGGTTCCTGGGTATACAAACACAATTTCTCAAATTCTAAAGAGGGTGTTTTTCTGTCTGGTTCTATTTGTAAGAAATGTACAAAGAACTGATAATTCACACAATCTTACTTTCTTTGAATCATTGTTTAAATTGAGAGAAATGGTCCATTTTAACAATATCAAATGGACATTTTTCAGAGAAAATTTTGGATCCACAAAATAAAAGAAATTTGATAAAAAAATATTTAACACTCTTACAGTTTGTATCTCATCTCTTGAGACTGGGAGGAACTTTGACTTTGTATGCATTTTTTTTTAAATGGATTTAGATTACCACTGTCTGATTTACCCATAAATGTTAACAGTAAGACCTAGGTAGTCGTCTACATGTACCGTGGGGTTTTATAAAATACACAATATGTGAGACTAACTAACACAAGACTTGGTTTAGAGAATGGAAAACAATGGATGATAACCTTTGATCTCTATCTGGAGAGGTAATCCCAGAAATGTAGGTCGTGATTTGAATCTACTAATATATTTTAACTTTTCAACCCTGTGATTAGATTAAACTTCATATCATACAAGATATGTATAAAGATGAACTGTAAATCATTGAACTTCAGAAATACATATTTGTCCAATTGTTCTCTCAAGGACACGATTGTTTGGAGCTGTTTTAAGTTTGATTGTGTCTTTATTAATCAGCAGTAGAATTACAAATTCCACATCTTGTCAAATTAACACAAATGTTCAAAGCTTGCAAAATTGAAAGCCAACACAGGACATTTTAGCTTCAGCATATAAATGCTAAAATCACACACATCGCTAGAGGTGAAGATTAGTATTAGAGGTATAATAAGCATACTTGCAAACTCTCCCTATTTAGGATGGAGACTCCCGATTTTGGAGCCTAAAATTGAGTATTTTCAATCGGTGAATCGGCTAAAATATTTCTTTTTTCTAAGATTTGACAATTGTACTTGAAGCAACAGCTCAATTGATGCAATTTAAAAGTGTTAATTTTCCTGTAATCTCCCCCATGGAAATTTAAAGAAATTGGCAAGTATACTATAAGTATACCTGATGATGCTGACTTTTTCCCAAACACTACTAATTCAATATTACCTTCTGATGAGTGAACTATGATATTAGTTATTATATAGTGTCTGTGTTGAAGAGAAGGAACCGTTACTACCCATACCCAAAGATTCCTCAACAAGAGGCAATAATTGCATTAGTACATTACATGAAACTGAACAACAGAATAATGAAAATGTCTTTTCATGCTAGGGAAAATGACAAAGTTCACACATAGTTATTCGCCTAGCATCAGAGAATGTATCATTCCATGTACTAATACAGGTGAAACAGTAGCTACATGGATAATCTAAAACTTCTGATTAGAGCGTTAAATAGTCAATACTTTCAATAAATACTGTATACAGCTGTCCAGTGAAATATTCGCCCCCCGACGGTAACATTCACCCAGTGTTAGATTCTCTCTTCAATACTGATGTACTAGAATATGTAGCAAGCTGTCGGTGTACCCATATTCTATGACAGTACAACCTTGTCCTCATTACTAACAAAGGGCGGAGGTTCCAATGTTGAGCTGCGTCAAATATTTGCCATAATACAGTTATAAAAGCCTGCTACAGCTTATGAAACATGAATGTAATGATGTATGTGTGTGATTTTGAAAACAGTTTACAAACATGATTATAATAAAAATTTCTACATAATAATGTTCACTGCATCATTCTTTACATTCGGAGAAATACATCTGCATCACATAAACTCTTGCACTGATAAAACTTTGTCCGACCCAATGAAACTCTTGCACTGATAAAAGTCTTCTGAGTCATATATATGTATTGCAATAATATACAATTCCAAGCTTCTTGAGTATTCATCACACATGGTCTACCAGACGAGACGGATCGACTCTTGGTATGTCAACACTGATTTGTGTGCTCATTCTGGAAAACAGTTCCCGATAGTTATTCAGCAAGAGTTCCACACATTTCTGTTCAAACTGGGCGGCCATAAGACTGATCATGGGGTTGGCATCGGGACTCCGCATCAGGGTTGGAGCGAACACTATAGACAAGTTGTCACTCCCCATCATATTCTTGGACTTCTTATCTGATACTCTAAAAACAGACAACAAAAGATTATAATTAAGAGCGGAGTACTTCTTTTTTTTCCTGAAAAATAACCCAAACTTACACACAACATACATGATCAGCCGACCGTTACCATAGCCTACTCTGTATGATCAGCCGACCGTTACCATAGCCTACTCTGTATGAGCAGCCGACCGTTACCATAGCCTACTCTGTATGAGCAGCCGACCGTTACCATAGCCTACTCTGTATGATCAGCCGACCGTTACCATAGCCTACTCTGTATGAGCAGCCGACCGTTACCATAGCCTACTCTGTATGAGCAGCCGACCGTTACCATAGCCTACTCTGTATGAGCAGCCGACCGTTACCATAGCCTACTCTGTATGAGCAGCCGACCGTTACCATAGCCTACTCTGTATGAGCAGCCGACCGTTACCATAGCCTACTCTGTATGAGCAGCCGACCGTTACCATAGCCTACTCTGTATGATCAGCTGACCGTTACCATAGGCTACTCCGTATGATCAGCTGACCATTACCAAAGCCTGCTCCCTATGATCAGCTGACCGTTACCATAGCCTACTCTGTATGATAAGCTGACCGTAACCATAGCCTACTCCGTATGATCAGCTGACCATTACCATAGCCTACTCAGTATGATCAGCTGACCATTACCATAGCCTACTCCGTATGATCAGCTGACCGTTACCATAGCCTACTCCGTAAGATCAGCCGACCATTACCATAGCCTTCTCTGTATGATTAGCTGACCGTTACCATAGCCTACTCTGTATGATAAGCTGACCGTAACCATAGCCTACTCCGTATGATCGGTTGACCGTTACCATAGCCTACCTCGGATGATCAGCAGACCATTACCATAGCCTACTCCATATGATCAGCTGACCATTACCATAGCCTACTCCCTATGATTAGCTGACCATTACCATAGCCTACTCTGTATGATTAGCTGACCGTTACCATAGCCTACTCTGTATGATAAGCTGACCGTAACCATAGCCTACTCCGTATGATCAGCTGACCGTTACCATAGCCTACTCCGTATGATCAGCTGACCATTACCAAAGCCTACTCCCTATGATCAGCTGACCGTTACCATAGCCTACTCTGTATGATCAGCTGACCGTTACCATAGCCTACTCCGTATGATCAGCCGACCATTACCATAGCCTTCTCTGTATGATTAGCTGACCGTTACCATAGCCTACTCTGTATGATCAGCTGACCGTAACCATAGCCTACTCCGTATGATCAGTTGACCGTTACCATAGCCTACCTCGAATGATCAGCCGACCATTACCATAGCCTACTCCATATGATCAGCTGACCGTTACCATAGCCTACTCTGTATGATCAGCTGTTCCATAGCCTACTCTGTATGATCAGCTGACCATTACCATAGCCTACCCCGTATGATCAGCGGACCTTTACCATAACCTACTCTGTATGATCAGCTGACTGTACCAAAGCCTACTCTGTATGATCAGCCGACCGCTACCATAGCCTACTCTGTATGATCCATAGCCTTCTCTGTATGATTAGCTGACCGTTACCATAGCCTACACTGTATGATCAGCTGTTCCATAGCCTCCTCTGTATGATCAGCCGACCGTTACCATAGCCGACTCTGTATGATCAGCCGACCGTTACCATAGCCGACTCTGTATGATCAGCCGACCGTTACCATAGCCTACTCCGTATGATCAACGGACCTTTACCATAGCCTACTCTGCATGATCAGCTGACCATTACCATATCCTACTCCGTATGATCAGCGGACCTTTACCATAACCTACTCTGTATGATCAGCCGACTGTTACCATAGCCTACTCTGTATAATCAGCTGACTGTACCATAGCCTACTCTGTAGGATCATCCGACTGTACCATAGCCTACTCTGTATTATCAGCCGACTGTACCATAGCCTTCTCTGTATGATCAACTGACCATTACCACAGCCTACTCTGTATGATCAGCTGACTGTACCAAAGCCTACTCTGTATGATCAGCTGTTCCATAGCCTACCCTGCACCATAAGCTGACCATTACCATAGCCTACTCCGTATGATCAGTTGACCGTTACCATAGCCTACCTCGAATGATGAGCCGACCATTACCATAGCCTACTCTGTATGAGCAGCCGACTGTACCATAGCCTACTCGGTATGATCAGGTGACCATTACCATAGCCTACTCTGGATGATCAACTGACCATTACCAGAGCCTACTCTGTATGATCAGCTGTCCATTACCATAGCCTACTCCGTATGATCAACGGACCTTTACCATAGCCTACTCTGTATGATTAGCTGACCATTACCATAGCCTACCCCGTATGATCAGCGGACCTTTACCATAACCTACTCTGTATGATCAGCCGACCTGTACCATAGCCTCCTCCGTATGATCAGCTGACTGTTTCCATAGCCTACTCTGTATGATAAGCTGACCATTACCATAGCCTACTCCGCATGATCAGCGGACCTTTACCATAGCCTACTCTGTATGATCAGCTGACCGTTACCATAGTCTACTCTGTATGATCAGCTGACCGTTACCATAGCCTACTCCATATGATCAGCCGACTGTACCATAGCCTACTCTGTATGATCAGCCGACTGTACCATAGCCTCCTCCGTATGATCAGCTGACTGTTACCATAGCCTACTCTGTATGATCAGCCGACCGTTACCATAGCCTACTTTGTATGATCAGCTGACCGTTACCATAGCCTACTCTGTATAATCAGCTGACTGTACCATAGCCTACTCTGTATGATCAGCCGACCATAACCATAGCCTACTCTGTATGATCAGCCGACTGTTACCATAGCCTACTCTGTATGATCAGCTGACCGTTCCCATAGCCTACTCTGTATGATCAGCCGACTGTACCAGAGCCTCCGCCGTATGATCAGCTGACTGTTACCATAGCCTACTCTGTATGATCAGCCGACCATTACCATAGCCTACTCTGTATGATCAGCCGACTGTACCATAGCCTACTCCGTATGATCAGCCGACCGTTACCATAGCCTACTACCATTACCATAGCCTACTCTGTATGATCAGCTGACCTTTACCATAGCCTACTCTGTATGATCAGCCGTCCATTACCAAAGCCTACTCTGTATGATCAGCCGACTGTACCATAGCCTACTCCGTATGATCAGCTGACCATTACCATAGCCTACTCCGTATGATCAGCCGACTGTTACCATAGCCTACTCCCTATGATCAGCCGACCGTTACCATAGCCTACTCCGTATGATCAGCCGACCGTTACCATAGCCTACTCCGTATGATCCGACGACCATTAACAGAGGCTACTCCGTATGATCAGCCCGAGACTCCCTTATAAGACCAAGGGACCAGAGGCCCAAAGGCTGATATGGGTCGAGGACAGATACTGACGTAGGATATGGTAAAGGTCATATGGTAACCCTTCTATCATATAACATCAAAATTATAAGCAACTAGAAAATGTCTGTAAGACATAAATGCCCCCGCCTATGGATGGGACGGGGCGGGACACGACGTGACACGACGGACCTGAGCAACACTATATCCCCCCCCATTTTATGCCAGGGGCATAATAATAAATAAACACACAGGAAGTTAATATTTCATGAGCTGAACTATAATCACATTCTACCTTAGATACAGATGGATATTCAGCATGTATTCCAACAATCTGACACGTGATTTTGTTTTTGGAAAGTCTTGACCGGAAGTTAAATGGATATGGTGCAAGCCAGGCAGATATGGATTGGTCCGGGATATGGCCTGTAAACAGCTAACAGTATCACACATGCAAAACAACCCATGTCACGGACAAGTTAGAGTATGTGATACAAATATTACACAAAGAGGAGGAGTATAGTGAAATGAGGACCTGATAATTAGGGACCTGTTACTCACCGGATTAGATGTGCTAGGAGGTATTTAAGTGTCTGGTAGTGGGCGGGGGGTAATATGGATAGTCCCTCCTTCAGCTTGACGATTAGCTCCCTTGAACGGATATCTTCACGCTCTACAACACAAAAATAACAAGGGCCTTAATTTTTCTGAAATTAATACAAAACTTACACAGATTATATTGATTATGGGGAAAAGATGAAAATTGTGGTAATTATTTCTTACTATTTCTTACCGTGTGATCTCAGAAATCGAGATAATCTGGAAAACTCTTATAATTAAAACTTCAAACACAAGGTTACCAGCGTACTAATATTTTTATTAAAGCTAAAATGTTTGGTTGTCGATCTATATGATTGGTTGTTGTCTATTTATGTGATCTTTGATCTCTGAACATTTTGATATTCATGAGGTGTTTTTTTTTAAAAAAGATGTTTGCAAACTTGCCAACTCTCCCTATATTGGAAGCATCTGATTTTAAACCCTAAAATTGAGCATTTTCAACCCCTGAATCTGTTAAAGTATTCGGATTCTCTAACATCTGATGATTTCATGGGAAAGTGTTGTTCAAAAGATGCCATTTTATAGTGTTATTTTGTCCCTAGGGATATATACACACCCATCTTATTGATGTTTGTAATTTTGACCATGCGTTATCTCCCGTATGGAAATTTAAAAAAGCTGGCAGTATGTGATTGCTAGGACCAACATGTACAGCTTACAACAGTCTTGGCAGTCTCGTCTAGATATATATATTTATCACATTATCGGCCTGTTATCCAGTGAATTCGCCCGTGTAATACTTTTACGTCATAATATGGATAATGACATGACGTCATAAATTGTGAATGGCGCAACAAAATGTCTGTCTCCGTTTGGGCTTTAAAACCTGTCAAAATGTAAGTTTTCTGAGTTATGTGATAAAATGTATCTTAAATTTGTTTTCATTTCATATGAGCTTTTATGAAACTCATCTCGAAGTTTTGATATTTGCTCGATAAGGCTCGCAAAAATAATAACTACTAAGACTCGTTTCATAAAATCTCAGATGAAATGAAAACTCTTTTAAGATCCTATATATATTATTATCAAACAGAGCTGAAAACCTAGCATTCAAATGAACCATGCTCCACAGTAGTCAACTTTATAATGGTACACTGTATATACACCACTTTTACCACTCTACAGGGGGTACATTTCACAAAGAATTCATTTTCGCTATGAGTATCTTTTCTGTAAGTTTGGACCCAATATGCGAATTATGTAAACTAATTGCCGATGTAAGTCCTGTAGATAACTGTAATCTAAGATTATATATAGTCAAGCACAGCATATATATAATCACTGCAAATCTGATTCAAGGTGTGACGTTTTGACGTAGTAGAAATTTCTCTCCAGTAGATTCAGAGAAAAAAAATCTGTTATAGTAAATTATATGACCCTTGTAAGATGATTCAAGACAAATTCTGTAAGACTTACTTTCGGGCTTAGTAACATGACGAAGTACAGAATCAGTGGTACACTTACTTATGGCATCAATTATAAACTTATAGGCGTCGAAGGTGAGCAGTGGTATGGGGAGGAGTCGGAAGTACAGCTTCAGCACACTTGTGATACTGTTGATGTCATCGTATCTATTGACACTGATGTCCGTGTTCTCTCCGTCTACAAAACACCGCATCAACAACGTTTATTTACAAGGCACAGCACCCTAACTTAATTTCAGCTTCAGCCTGTGGACAAAATTTGTCCCAACTAAGCAATAGTATTTACATGTACATAAGACAAATCTTTCGAATATTTGAGGTCCTTGCAATTAACTGTTAATTGCATAATTACCCGTAATAGTCAATAATTCAATTATTTTACACAGTTGTAGCAATATTCAAGATTTACTGCTAAGATATTTCAAAGTCCCTTTTCCGTGTAAATACTTACAACTTTTTAATATGTCTCCCTTGAAATACGATGTATAACACAAAACCCATCCCCTTTAAAAAGCCAAAATTATACAGGACAAATGGTGACAATATAAAAAGAAGATATTATACTCGACCTTTATCAAACGCCATCCTGATGCCTTCCACTTCGTCATGTAGGCCTGCTATTCTGTAGAGTCCCTCAGACTCCAGACCTAGAGGCAGACACAGTGGGTTTACACATGTTACCAAAAACAACTCATATGCAGATTCTTTTTTCATGAAAAAAATAACCTCTAAGGTAGAGTATATTTGTAAATTCATGAAAAATTTGATGATCAGAAATGTTGAGTTACTTCCCTTTCCCCACAAAGCAATAGGGCCGTTTCGTTATTAAATGAAAAATCATTGCATCTTGCAGACATTTCCTTTCTGTTTGATATATAAAAAGATTTATTTACATCTGATTTTTTTCTCAGAAATCATGATATCTGCACCAATGAGATTTACTACAAAGGAAGCCAAGGGCAGACAATTACCTCGAGACTCTATCTCTTTTATACACTTTTCCACGACGACAGGGATGGGTGTATTCCTCGCCTTGACCACTGTAGTGAGATCAGCTCCATATAAGTTCTTCACAAACTTAATGTCTGGCATGCAGTCATTAGGGACCTTCTCAGAACACTTTTTGTGAGCTTCAAATCCACAATCTGCAAAACAGAACAAACATACAATCAAAAGGGACCATCTCAGAAAGCCTTTTTTGGTAAAAATGTACAACAAGAATTTTATTCAAAACAATTCTTATGTTTAATGTTTCATCTGTTGGACTGATTCTATCTTATGACTTTCAAGGCTAAATATGATACATGAGTACAGCCGGCCAATAATCTGCCTCCAACATGCCAAGCCTATACATCTCACCTTTGACGAATTTGTTTTGGGTTTTAATATGACCCAAGTGATAGACTTGGTTTGTACAATGACCTTGACCTTTATTCAATTTTACATTTGACCGCTGATAATTAACTGCTAACATCTCGTGATCACCTGGACACTAGACTCAGACTTGACATAAGATATTTGACACAATGCAGTACTTACCTTGACCTTTATTTGACAACTGACCTTCAAATAACCCCTTATTAGACTCACCTTGTCATTTGACCTTTTGAATTAGACTCACCTTGACATTTGACCTTGTACATTAGACTCACCTTGACATTTGACCTTGTACATTAGACTCACCTTGCTATTTGACCTTGTACATTAGACTCGCCTTGACATTTGACCTTGTACATTAGACTCACCTTGTCATTTGACCTTGTACATTAGACTCACCTTGACATTTGACCTTGTACATTAGACTCACCTTGACATTTGACCTTGTACATTAGACTCACCTTGACATTAAACCCTGTACATTAGACTCACCTTGACATTTGACCCTGTACATTAGACTCACTTTGATTTTTGACCCTGTACATTAGACTCACCTTGACATTTGACCCCCTGAGCAATGAGACCCCACATGAAGTTGGCACAGTAGTCACACCAGTGTAGTCCCATGAAGTTTTGAGTCTGAAAAGGCAAATAGCTTACATTCAAAATCTACTATCCATGTACATATATTTACATTTGCTCAGCAACCTTTCACCTCTATACATAGAAAATACAATACCTATTGAGAGCCTATAACAGTATATGGTCAGGTGACCACTGATTGTGATGTCATCAATCTGACTGTGACTATACCAATTTCATGTTCTAAAACTTTATGAACTGACATTCGGAGAAATTTTCTAGGGCAGTCACAATGTGTTGGAAAACTGAGTATATCACAAGTCACACACATCATATATCGCAAGTTAGAAATGAAATATGTACCACAATATTTTTCAAAACCTTAATTATATGTGTTTTAACTTTGCAAATGATGGCACATTCTAACAGATATGCCACAAAAAACATAAACAGACCATTACTTGTGGTGGGAATCAATTGAAAAGTTATAATTATGAAGTATTATAATAGATGGTTTATTTAACATTCTGAGTCTGTATGATCAACATGATTCATGATTAAGTTTGATAACAATTTATTTCATAGGACCACAACTCCGTTTAGATACCCCCTTCATTACTTAAATAGTTATGCACAAGAAGCTGGCAAAATGTTGAATTACGATGACCTCATTTAAATGGTCATGTGACCTCCACTCCTTTACAATTTGACCTTGTGTCAAAGTTACATCGATCAATCATTCAACGTACAATGAACTAACCTTAAAATTATGTGCCTTTTCAAACTCATGGACGTTAGCCAGTATATCATCGTCATCATCTTCTAGGAATTGCTGTAATAATAAGATTTTTAAAAACTAGACATATTGGACAATGACTTAGTGTTTCAAATGTCATGAAACAAAATGAAACAAAAGATTCTTAACACATCAAGACATTTTTTTGTAATCTTTACTGTGTCTACTTAATTCAGCTCAATGAGCAACAAATCTCTCTGCATAGTAGGCTGTAATATCTCAATTAAAACACACATTTAAAATTACAAAAGTGTATGGTTTGTTTGTGTTTTACGTTCTATTAACAGCTATGATCATTTAAGGACGTGCCAGGTTTTGGTGGTGAAAAAAAAGCCGGAGTTCCCGGAGAAAAACAAACGACCTACAGCCAGTACCTGGGGACTGCCCCACGACAGCCTCGAACCCACGACCCAGTGGTGGAAGGCTAGTGGTAGCGGAATGTCGGACATTGTAACCACTTGGCCACGGCGACCCCTAACAAAGGTGTCCTCGACGTCTTGCAATTTTTTGATATTTCTTTGTCTTACTATAAAGAAACACTTCTGATTCACATACACTACAACATTGCTCTGCATCAGTAGTGGTGGATCTCCATATGAACAACTCACGCAATTATCTCAATTCACCTCCTGTTTTTACTCTTGTATGAATTACTCATAACATCTGAGTTTTAATATTCCTTGCATCTGTACAATGCTGGATGATATTTTGCAATTTACAAACACATTTGAACCTTGATGTATGACAGCATGAATGAATTGAGTCTCAAAGCTAAATATCAAATTTCAATTTAGCAGAAGTTTGATTCAGTGAAATAGCCAAATCTTGTATATTTAATTTCTCCATGAAACTGACCAGAGTAAGGATGTCTCTGTATATGGATTTACAAGTATATACATGTATTTAAACCTTATTTTTACAACAACTATGAAACAAGTTAATTTGTTGGCCGAGATGTTGGAGCAGGGGGGGGGGGGGAACCAGAGAACCAGGAGAAAACCCACGGCAGGTGTCCATATACCTTTTCACGTCCGATTGGGGAATCAAACCGTGCCCGCATTCGTGACAGGTAAGTGGGCTACCCACTGCGCTACCCGATCACCGTAATTTGCCAGTAATTTCACACTGTTCTGCCACAAAAGGAGAGCTTATCTGATGTAAATGAAATTGTTGTTCTTGGAATTATTTATTTCAGGACTGGGCCACGACAAAGTACATTTGCTGACGGACCATATTTAAACCTCAATAATGTTACCCCTTGGTTTGTACAAGCTCCAGTGTCTAGAGCCTTATGGTAGACTTACACAAGTTTCATACTTTAACAAATGAGTTGACTTAAAATACAAGGATTGAAACTTGCCTTAGCTAATCTCAATGGCTGATGAATTGAATCGGTCTTGTGACAAAATGTAATCAACTCCTTCACCTAATGAAATTGACAAAAGCAAGGGTCTATGCGTAAATATTACAGTGTCGTTGTCCGTATATATGTTTGACAATATATACAAGTAAATGTCATATTTCAATCAATTTGGACAGACTTCTTGAAATATTTACTGACAATTGAAATTTCCCAACTTAAATACAATATCCTGGGTCCAGGTCAGCTATTAACATGACAATGTACTATCTAATTATCCTACGGACGACAAACTCACCCCTTGAGCCTGAACAGTTGTCCCGTTTGAGCCATTACTTAGTCTATTAGGTCCATCAACATTCGAATTTCCTGAATCTGTGTGTTCTAATTTCCTGGCGACCACTGATTTCTGTGATCGCTGCAGCCGTTTCTTTTTTGCACTGTATGCCAAATACGGCGACTCCGCATAGTTCGACTCGTTCGAGAGAGATGCAATGTAATCTGCAGCTTTTGCTTCCACGTAAAAGTGGATGAGTCCGTCTGCCACTAAGTCGTGAACCGTATCAAATCGCTTCTCACCAACATAGTGCATTCCATCGTAGTACAACTTAAAGTTCTTAGTCTGACTTTCAAACCTGCAAAAGAAAACATGAAGTGTTTGATTCTTTCAGACTTGTCAAGTCTAGGTTATCTCCCTTACTATATAGAGCTAATCATCTACATAGATCTGGTACTGCAATTCTCACCATCATTACTTAATGACATCATAAAATGTTCTTTTAACAATGATTTGTCTATTTTCATTATTTTCAACTCCTTGTTTACACTTAGCAGACTTTATTATATTCAAGACAGATCTGGGGAAAGAATTTCATGCATACTTGTAGAGTCAAATATGGCAGTAAGTCTGGTGGTGAATTTATTGTATACTGGTTCTGAACTTAACCATCGTTGCCATTCAATATTCTTTATCTGGTGTTTTACACTACATGTATATCATAATGTGGATTATTGAAAGTGAAGACTTTTTTTTACCTGATTGCAAGAGTGAACGCATCAGGGGCTCGGTCACTTTTCCGAACCAGGTAACACCCATCTCCCTCACACAACAGACGCTCAGCTTCGTCACGGCTTATGTTACCCTGGTACCTGTAAACACAGTTCACAATCATTATCTCACTTTCAATATGCTACCGTTTCCAAGTTACCACATTTTCAACAGATGGTTGTTGTAAGTGACCTCCTCATGTGGACGCTAATCAAATGACCTTAGCTGCTGTTAGGCCACACAACTCAAAACAATCTCAGTTTCACATCACCATGGTAACTCTCAACAAAGGTCAAGTGACCTCCTCAAGTCATGAAAGTAGCATACTATTCTTTTTTTGGAAAACTGAAGAAATTTACCAGATTTTAAAATTGAACAATAGAACACAAGCTAAAATCGGTTAATTGACCCACTTCCCAAATTCTTTAATGATAAAGACTAATTACACACCCAACAACGACTTAACAGTTCCATCTAACCCGGTAATTTGTCTCTAAAAGCCATTAGCGTGTTACAAGTCCAAGGTATTGTCAACATTAGTGTTCTGACCTTATACACGACAGCTGATATGGCCTGATTGTGTTCAGGTTTAGTTTTCTGTTGTAATTAGCCGTTCTTACAGCATTAAACGGTGACGAAATGTTTATTGATTCACGACAAACATTTGTGTGGTGACCTTCTAAATGTACCTAATAAGTTAACATTAGCAGCCGGCTTCCGATACCTAAGTACCCTTAACTGTGATCAGCAGACATGAATCGCAACGGTAATTAATTCTGCTGAAATCTTCGGGATCTGCTGGAGGAGAAACCTTTCATTGGAAACTGTAACCACGGATTAAGTTCAAATTATACCCTTTATCCACGTAGTTCAAATTATACCCTTTGTCTACGTAGTTCAAATTATACCCTTTATCCCGGTAGTTCAAATTATACCCTTTATCCACAGAGTTCAAATTATACCCTTTGTCCACGTAGTTCAAATTATCCCCTTTGTCCACGTAGTTCAAATTATACCCTTTGTCCACGTAGTTCAAATTATACCCTTTGTCCACGTAGTTCAAATTATACCCTTTATCCCGGTAGTTCAAATTATACCCTTTATCCACGTAGTTCAACTTATACCCTTTGTCCACGTAGTTCAAATTATACCCTTTATCCCGGTAGTTCAAATTATACCCTTTATCCACTTAGTTCAAATTATACCCTTTATCCACGAAGTTCAAATTATACCCTTTATCCACGTAGTTCAAATTATCCCCTTTATCCACGTAGTTCAAATTATAGCCTTTGTCAACGTAGTTCAAATTATACCCTTTGTCACCGTAGTTCAAATTATCCCCTTTGTCCACGTAGTTCAAATTATACCCTTTATCAACGTAGATCAAATTATACCCTTTGTCAACGTAGTTCAAATTATACCCTTTGTCCACGTAGTTCAAATTATACCCTTTATCCACGTAGTTCATCTGTACAGCCAGGGTTTTAGAGGACAGATTGGCACTATCTGTACAGCCAGGGCTTTAGGGGACAGATTGGCACTATCTGTACAGACAGGGTTTTAGGGGACAAATTGGCACTATCTGTACAGACAGGGTTTTAGGGGACAGATTGACACTATCTGTACAGCCAGGGTTTTAGGGGACAGATTGACACTATCTGTAAAGTCAGGGTTTTAGAGGACAGATTGGCACTATTTGTACAGCAAGGGTTTTAGGGGACAGATTGGCACTATCTGTACAGCCAGGGTTTTAGGGGACAGATTGGCACTAACTCTACAGCCAGGGTTTTAGGACACAGATTGGCACTATCTGTACAGCCAGGGTTTTAGGGGACAGGTTGGCACTATCTGTACAGCCAGTGTTGTAGGGGACAGGTTGGCACTATCTGTACAGCCAGGGTTTTAGGGGACAGATTGACACTATCTGTACAGCCAGGGTTTTAGGGGACAAATTGGCACTATCTGTACAGCCAGGGTTTTAGGGGACAGATTGACACTATCTGTACAGCCAGGGTTTTAGGGGACAGATTGGCACTATCTGTATAGCCAGGGTTTTATGGGACAGATTGGCACTATCTGTACAGCCAGGGTTTTAGGGGACAAAGCTATCCCTGCTATCCAGCAGTCTCGTAATTAAGACACCTTTTATGGGTACCTGTTCTAAAGTGACTGGATTATCCAGACTCAATTGTATCGTAAGTAAAAGTCTCTGTCAAATGTTTTATTCCGTTCAGTTTATTGAAAACAAATGCCTTTTCTGGAAATCAAATAATTTTCTCAACTTTTCAATCTTTGTAATCTAGCGGCTGGTAGAATGGTCAAGAGATGTGTCTGATTTGTAGCCTCAGGGTAATTAGTTCAATCTGAGCCCAGACAGTAGCCCGACCATGATATTGAGTATGTCCTGTTTACATTAAACTACTTATTACCTTGTTTTAAGGCTGAGGAGCAAATAACTCTGTCTGACATTTATTGGTCAGACCAGTCATCAAATTGTAGTGAAACCACCACAGACTCTGGCTTCTGAGGACCAGTTTACCACATTTACCCAACTAAACACTCCTGTAAACTAAACAAGTATCTGGTTTACTTACATACTCCATCTTCTAAGGGACAATTTTACCACATTTACCCAACTAAACACTGGTAAACTCAACAAGTATCTGGTTTTCTTATAGACTCTGTCTTCTGAGGACAATTTTACCACATTTACCCATATAAACACCCTTTAAACTCAACAAGTGTCTGGTTTACTTGCCAATTCTCTGAACTTATGAGGACAATTTTACCACATTTACCCATCTGAACACTCCGGTAAACTCAACAAGTGTCTGGTTTACCAACAGACTCTGACTTCTGAGGACCAGTTTACACATTTACCAAACATATCTCTTGTGTTAACTCAACAAATATCTTGTTTACATTGTTTAGCATGACCACCACAGACTTCTGAAGGCCAATTTACCAATATCACTCCCACGGAGAAAGCCAATAATTCAGGTGAGAGAAACAGACACAGCGCATCTGGTTTTGGATAACAGTGTAATAATGTTATCACTGGTTACCAAAGCTGATCAGCGAACATCACCTACACAATCGATACATGTCTGGAGTCGACTCCCTTGGGGGGGGGGGGGGGGGGGGGTCATCTTCCTCAACCAGAACCCTTCACGCTCAGCAAACAAAGATATTCTTGGAAATCAATGTGCTAGACTGCTTGACTTTATTTTCCAAATGTCTTACCACTTCAAAATAAATCTATTGTGTTTATCCTCTTCAGACACACCACGTCAAGTATCCTTAGGATATAAAGGTTTCCACTAAACCTCCTCCATACATACATGTTGAGGTGCTCTAGATCTTAAGCCAGTGATTATCACTAACACTATAAGATCATTGTTTTGTATACCTATAAACAAAGGGGTAGAACAAAAGTAATCAAAGTTATAAACTGTTCCTTCCTTTAATTCTTTATTAAGGTCAGATGTTGGATGCATATACTTAACCCAAGAGTAATTTTGAATCACAAAGAAAGGAGAATACTTACTCTTTTCCATAAAATGGTGGTTTGTTGGGTACCTAAAATGTAAAAAAAAAAAAACAACAGTAATTTAGTTCAGTCAAATAACCTCATTAATTAACCCATTCACCCCTTAAGTCCCATTTGAACCTTACCAAACCATAGTCCAGTTTAAATATGCAGGGATGAATAAGCTCAAATCTACGAAAGTTGAACATGCAAACAAAAGTTAAGGTCTACCAAATGATACACCTATAACTACATGTATACAGCTAATCTTCGACTACCATTTCTCTGAAACAAGATTTTATTGCTACAAGTTCTCCCTGGTATTGACAGTAATTAACTCTCTGTATTACGAGGGAACAGAACTGTTGAAAAGGCAGTGATTTCCCCAGTGAAACATCGTATATCAGGTTTGGTGGGTTTTTTGGTGTGTAGATGTCATTACATAACACCAATCTATGACAGTAATATACTACGGCACTGTCTGGCTGGCTGGCTCTTCCAGGCTGGCATCGTCTAAAACGTCGCTTCTCATATACTTTTTCTCTCCGGATTCAGCCACGTTTTAGATATGCATGTCACATGGTAAGGGGGCATGTGTACTTCCGTTATAAACAGAAAATTTGAGAGTTGCACAAAACAACTCGCAAAAAATAAGGCATACTGTTCAAGTCTGAAAGTCTTAAACAACAGGGTGCTAGTCATCAGATATCCCTTCCTTACAGAATATGAAAATTCAGTTCAAATACCAATGTTTTACTTCGACAAATTTGGTTTTCTACTGATTTAAGTTTACACCAGAATTTACATGCCCCCTGTTCAAACAGTTGAACCGGTCGGACCACAGTTGTTCGTTTATCAAATAAGGTCGGACCCAGTAATATGATGCTGCTTTCAGGTAGCCTTGACAAAGCCTTGCAAGGTCTGCATACACATTTGCAGGTCCACCAGGATTTATACCCAAAATTGTTATATTCAAAAACGGACAAACCGGTTGTCCCGCATAAACCAACAGGCCCCTGCTTATACTCATTCACGTTATATCCTTTTTCATTCAGTAACTTCTACGGAATAACATAAAAGACCAGCATTGTTCGATTGATTACAGAAAGAGATATTCTTTTTAAGAACATTTGAGCCATCTGCCCATTTGGAAATTTTCAATCAGATCCCCTTAAATCAGTAGATGGGCAGGTCCTGCCAGTTCATGATTATGTTTAGGACAAGGAGAGTTTCTGCAAGGGAAGTAACTGCAGTTAAAGTCTTTTACACTGGGTTACAAATGATGGGGGCAAATAAATGCAAACTGAGAAATGAGTTTGGTACTTCATATACAATCGTAACATATCAACTCATACTGCTCTATGTCAGAGGTTCCCTGCTTAAAGATGACTGGATGAACACAAACAAGTTTTTATAAAAGCAAACTGTCGGCACTTTCCTGATGAAGTCGCAATTAAATTATTCTACATAACCTCTGTTAACTTCCTTAAACAACCTGGCTTCAGAAGTTTACAATCATGCTCTAATCAGAAAGTGTAATCTGAACTTGAAGGATACATAATTTTGACCTGGTGTAAAATGTAAACAGGAAATAAATGAAAATTGATCCGATATTTATTTAGATGCTTTCAACGTTCCTGTTTGTTCAAATGTCATGAACGATTGTTAAATTTGAGAAGAATTGCAGATTTGGGACCAGGAACCTCTGAACTTTTATATGTTTCCTGTAAAATGCCTTTAGTTTGACCTGGCAATTTATTGGACTTTTTCAATCGTTAAACAACTGTACCACTTACCTCATACTGACAAATGATCCTTCTTGGCTTGGGTGCTTGTAACTGCAGTGTGTATACTGTGAAAGACAGAAATGGACAAAATATTACAGCTTATTTTATAATTATATTATTATTAACTGACTGAAGATCTAGAGTGTCACTTATACTGCCAAACTTATAGTAAGAAATCACCCTTGGGAAGTCCCAAGAAGTGTTTTCTAAACACAGGTGGTCTCTTAACACAGGTGGTCTCTTATCACAGGGGGTCTCTTAACATGGGTGGTCTCTTATCACAGGTGGTCTCTTATTACAGGTGGTCTCTTATCACAGGTTCAGATAACAATAAAATCACAACAATGGTAAACATTTAAAGTGGTTTCTTAACACAGGTGGTCCCCTAATAGAGGTGATCACATGATCCGATTTGACGGTATAATATATCCTATATAATATATTTCTAAATAAAAAAATTATGTAACATTAACTATAAAGATAATTCAGATCAAGCTAATATTATAGTGTGATCTTACTGAAATGCCATAGACATTATCAACCTTTTGTCAAAAGAATAATTGTTTAACAAAAAATAACATAGCTTTGATGGGGGGGTAAGGGTTTAACATCCTAGTAACAGCTAAGATCATATGAAGACAACTTTCCTCAAATGATAAATTGATTAGGTTGACAAGACATATTTGAAGAGTTTTCTATATGATCCACAAATGGTTAAAGAGGTCAAGGAGACTTTAAATGGAGCCCAGAATTAGATATAGGACAGACATAACGAAAGGTGGTAAGATTTCTGAAAGTTAAACGGAAACAATAAATCACTTTAATAAAGATATTAGATTCATGGCGTGATAAATCTTATATGTATATGGTTGGTATCAATTCAATTGTCAGGTCTGAGCTCCAGGCTGTCTCCACTGATGTAACAGAAAATTTAAAAAAAAATATACAAAATCAAATGTAATTTCCAATGATCACTCTGTAAATCAAATTCTAAAATGGAAATCTGCTTCAGACAATTTCATAAAGTTTAATTTTGAAGTCTAGAATGATCGGCTCTTATTTTTCAAACACAACTTACTGGTAAAATTCGGTCACTGAATTCATTATCAGAAATGTCAAATACAATAAATGTTCAACAATGTAGGAGGACTTAAACAAGAGGCCCATGGGCCTGAACGGTCATCTGACTACAAAGACTGAGCAGGGAGAATGGTCACTTTTCAACTTTCAATGAAATATTCTCAATCCCACTGGTGGAAGTTGAGAAGAAATTAAAAATTTGTTTTTCAAGATGGCGGCCATGGCCATCTTGGATTTTGGACCGACCCGAAAAATAATAACATTGGTCAGGACCATCTCAGGATCATTTCAGGCAAGTTTCAGCTCAATCCCACTGGTGGAACCTGAGAAGAAAGTTTAAAATGTTGAATGTTTACGGACGGTGCACAGCGGACAAAGACGGACGAAGTACGATGGCTATTTACTTAGTTTATTTATACCTTATGTAGATATATTATATAACATCTATCAATCTTATATTGACATGAAAATAGTTACATGAAATGTATGGTATATACACTCAAAATAGATTTATAACTATATGAAATTTATGGTAGTATACACTCAAGTAGATTTATAGCTATATGAAATTTATGATAGTATACACTCAAATCGATTTATAACTATATGAAATGTATGGTATATACACTCAACATAGATTTATAACTATATGAAAATTATGGTAGTATACACCCAAATAGATTTATAACGATATGAAATTTATGGTAGTGTACACTCAAATAGATTTATCACTATATGAAATTTATGATAGTATACACTCAAATCGATTTATAACTATATGAAATGTATGGTATATACCCTCAAAATAGATTTATACCTATATGAAATTTATGATAGTATACACTCAAATCGATTTATAACTATATGAAATTTATGGTAGTATACACTCAAATAGATTTATAACTATATGAAATTGAAATATATAGATAAAATAACATTACGATTTCCGACATTTACCGTACATACTACAGTAGTTGCAGGTGGTGTTTACATTTCTCAATTTCAAATTTTGATAGATAACCATAATGTTTTCGGTGTTAACGATGATATGTAATCACTATTGCCAGCCACCTGCCACGTGCACCTAGGGCTCCATAAAACCAAGGAGGTGGCTCAGTGGCTAGTGTACACGTCTACTGATCCAAGGTTTACTGTGAGATTGGTCACAGAATCCTCCATGTGTCTATCTCTGAAACTATTAGCACTATAAAAAGATTGGGGGACCGTGGAGAAGGGGGAGGAACCTGTACTAGCTAGCTGATAAAATACCCATGTGCATATAATACACACTTACTGTCTGTAGTTATATTCCTAGGGCAAATACAGTACCCCTCACTACTTAGCCATGTATCATACTTTAGACTTTTAGTTAAGTTGAACAAATATGTAAAAAAAAAAAAATCAGAAGATATTTTTGAAAACACAGAGGAAGGAAGAAAAAATATCAGAAACTGCGTCATATGTCAATATATCTCATGATATTTTTATTCCGTAATTTCAATTACATCAAAAGTGTGCGGGATTTACATGACTCCATATCCAGCATTTCAGGTGACCAGATGATAGTAGGAGATCCTATGGCGTGTTGTAATTGATGTACCAGGTAGTTGTTTACAAAACACACAGCCTAAAGGCTGATAACAGTGTGTACCTACACCTCTGCTGTACCCACCTGGCTCCCAAACCATGATCAGTGGTTCTACTCCCTCTCATTTGAGGTCTTCTACAAATCACAAGATAGGCTAGCGCTATATACCCTGCTGAGGTTCCCTTTTGCATTTTCGATTTTTTTTTTCACAAGTTTTTATGAATATTTTCTTATACAATGTTTTTGCTTTATTTGCTAATATAAAATAAATTATAATCTTTTGCATTTCTTTTTTATATAACTGCAAGAAAACTGCTTGTAATTCAGAATTTCTAGTTGTTAGTTGAAACATTTTTTTTTCCAAAATTTCATTCAAAATTTCTTCCAAGTCTTGCAATGTTTCTAATCAATACTCGATTCAGCTATAATGACACAAACCAGTGGAAAATACAATACTCCCTAGCTGGTCCACATTGTCACAAAACAGTAATTCTATAACACTGGATAAAAGATCTGTCACTGAAGTCAGAGCTCTACAGTAATCTCATACTTAAAGTACAAGCCTCGGGCAAATTTAGCAAAAAGAAAATGTATGAGCTTGACCTACATTTTTGTAATAAGTATTTTAAATCTTCATCGAAGTTTTGACATAAATTCTTTTAGCCCCAGGCACCTTGAAAAAATAACTGCTAGTCAAGAACAATACCTTCTGATATATCGCACTGTGTATAATACACAAACACTAAACCCAAAGTTGATACATGTACAATGGCAACAGAAACTAAAAGAAACACCAAAATTAAAGTTGTCCACATAACTGAAAAGTCAGAGGTGAAACCAGGCCCTCTGGGAGGGGAAGATATTCTATGTCACATGAGGAATGTGCCACAATATCTCCTGTCAAAATCCAGGAAAGGTCACCCTTGACCTTCAACCTTGACCTTCATCACTGACCTATAACACAGTGGTGAAGACTTCCAATCCTGGCAGACATTGAATTATTGAAAAGGTCATGATCAGGTCAAATTGAAGATAACTCCAAGGGCACACAAATGCAGAGCTGATTTCAAACCCATCGCCTTCCAAACTGTACACAGATGATCTAACAGCCCAGCTACAAATTTAATAATTACCCAGTAAATTTCAAGACACTTATAGCTGTATATGATCAGACCATTATTGACCTATCAGACTCACAGGGTATGCACAAATTAATAGATGAAAATCCAGTGTACATAAGTTAATGACTTAATTCAAGACTGAAAAACATTTCTTTTTGTATGTTGACTTCTCTCTGGTAATTCACATGTAAGGATCAGCAATTAAAATCAATGTTTGACATACAAGGGGTAAGGCTTGGTATTTGTCTGCAATGAGATCTTTTCTTCTCATGACTGAAAAGTTCACAATTTCTTCCCTGCTGTAGAAATGGACACCAGGCTGGGAAGTGATCCTACAAAAATCCGTTGTCAGTGATCCTACAAAAATCTGTTGTCTTCCAAGGCAAATATTTAAATTAAGCCATGTGCCCCGAGATTTGTATTCTATACCACAGATGCTATATAATGTACTGTGTTCCTACTCTATGGTAAGGGCCACTAGACTTGGTAAAGGAGATCAGCTCCAGGTCTACTCTAGAAAAGGCCATGCACGCTTTGAAATGGAACTGTGCTCCCAACTCTAGAGAATTACAATGTATCATTCATTCTAGGATTCATCGGTGATACTAGGAGCCAAAAAGAGAATGGAGATATTCTCCAACTGATGGGCCTCTAGACTTAGCTCTAACTCCATAGGTTAATAAAGGCATGGCTTGGAGTCTGGTATGATGCACCATTAAAGGTTTGGTAATGGTGGAAAGTTCTGCCCTTTAGGACAGGCCCCTACAACAGGAAATCTTGGCTCTGCATGGCTCTGTATCTGGGAAGAAGTTTTGGCTCTGTCAGCCCACACATCAGCCCTGTGTGGTAGATCTTTGACTCAACAGAGTGCTATACATGGGACAACTAAATTAATGGAAAGATTCTATATTTTATTTATTTTTTACAAGACATGAAATGCCTTTCTATATACGAATTCCTTTACAATTCATTCAATATTGATCCACAACATGACAAAGTATGCAGAAAGCCATCTCAAGTAACCCTACACAGCCTCACAAATATGCAGAATGCAAATTTAAATATTCACAATAAATCTACACTAAACCCTGAGGGTGAATATCGGACCAACAGAAAACCTATACTTCCTTGTGCCAGATACTGTAATGATTATTCAAGACTTGTGATTCTAAAACCAAATAGATATTGTGTAGGTTCTTTGGAGATGGTGATACATATCCTTTGCAGAATGATATAAACATTTATTTTTATTTTTCGGCTGAACATTTTTATCAAT